CTCAAATAATTTTAGGGCAGCCAGAATGTAGACTAAAAGGAAAATATAGCTGAGGCACTTATCTGGCAACCTGTGCCTTTCCAGAAGGCCTCTGCAGCTGAGAACCGAGCTATGGATTCAATCAGTAGCTTGGTTCTCGGCTGCAGAGGTCTTTGCAGAAGGCCTCTGACTGCGAAATGCAGGCCAGAGCTCCATTTTCAGCTGCAGAATGAAGCTGTTCCTTCAGCCACAGAAGAAGTGGGCCAGCTGGGCAGGGCTATTGCTGCCACGACAGCGAGGTGAGTGGAAAAGACGCCCCCCCAAAATAAGACCGGGTGCCTCTTTTGAAGGCCAAAACAAAAAAGAGACCAGGTCTTATTTTTAGGGAAACACAGTATCTAATCCAATAGGCCTGACATTCCTGGTTAACGGGGATACCAGCCAATCTATCTGGAAGATGTCCATTACAGAAAAACTGACAGCATATGGCTTCTCTAATTAGGCAATACAAAGGACGGGATATGACCAAACAAAAGTTCACTGGAGAGGATCCTTGATACTGGATTGCAACATGATTTCAATTTCAGTCACCAAGGCTACATAATTCTTGAAGACCAACTCTTACCAGAAGGCAGACAATTATCATTAATCCTTAACAAACAATAGATATTATAGAGCATTTGCTTTGATGGTAAATATCAAAAAATTCTCATCTACTGTATGTACAACTTTGCCTCCGTGACTCCCACACCATGCAGGATGTTCACATGTCCTGTTGCACTGTAATATTTATTAGAATTTATTAATTCAGCAATTCCCAGGCAGAAATGACCACTGGTACGTCTATCTTCCAGCAATATCACTACTGCCCATAACACAGCCAAACTGTACCTTGCTTCTACAAGCAACAAATACTGTCCAATTAAAAAAAACCTATGTTCCTTTGATATCTTTAAAATCTTCCCCTCTCCATTTCTTTTTCTCATAACTTTTAACTTTTTTAATTGCCATTTTTATGATGTATATAGAATTTTATGTATATATGTGTACACGTATGGTCAAAACCCACAATAATTTTTACCATTCAGCTTGAACTGGCTCAGATGTTAAACTCTGATGTAGTTGAAGAGTTTTTCTAGTATTCATCTAGAATACTGGATAAAAAAACAGTAAATGTTTCCTTAAAATAAATTCAAATTCAAATCCTAGTGAATCTATGCACACATTGATGTAATTAGCTTACAACAATAGGGAAGTGGGTTTTTTTTTTAAAGATCTCTGCAAGTCCTTAATCTAAAGTTGTTTTTTCTCAGAGACTTCAAGTCAATCTAGATTTCTGGCAACTTCACAGATAGGTCCTCTAGTTTTCTTGGCAAAACTGTTTAAATGGTCTGTCATTACCTTCTTCTGAGACATTTTTAGCTACTCAGTCTAGGGCTGAAGGTGATTGGCCTGAAGTCATCCAGCTGGCGTTCACACCTACGACAAGATTAGAATCTGGGTCTCCCCACTTCCAGTCCAATGTCTTGACCATTACAAACATTACAAACCCACTCCTCGTTTAGTGACACAGTCACTAAGTAGACAGTCTGTTCCTTAAATCAGAAGTGAAATAGTTGCTAAACAAAATGGTTGCTCACATATGACTGTGAAATAGAAAGTGTGAGTGAATGCATGGGAAGATCATTAAATTCTCTCATACAGTATCCTGTGCTTGACTCATTTTTTCCCCTCTCCCTCCCACCAGAAGGTGGAAAGATTGCTTATCTCTTCCTGAGCTGCTTTTCTCCTCAGTGGAGCACTTCCCTGAAAAGCGCTAATACAAGTTAAGAAGTTCAGTATTATTATCTTAATTAGTTGATTAGAACCCTCAGACCAACTTGCCCCCTGCCTGAAACTGACCAGGCACTAATCAGTTTCACAATGAAGGCTTTTGTTGTGAGGTGTATGAAGTTTGGTTTAAATGCAGGAATTTTATATTACTGTTATATTTGCAAATGGTTGCTAGCCAAGGTAATTGCTAACCAAGAAGTGGCTATATAACATTGGCCTGCTAGCCTACACTTTCTTCCTACACATCTTCCAAGCTATTCTACATCTCTTGCATGCTTGTATATAAGAGAGTGAGAGTTTTTCTCTTGATTTAATCCTAAAAGCAGGTGCACAATTTCACTATAAATTACAAGTTTCATATGTTGAAGAGCTTTGTGTATGGGTTTCAAGCACATTGGGTAAATGGGTTCACTTAACAACTGTAGTGTTCATCCAAGAACAATGGTATTCATTTAATGACTGCTGCAAAAAAGTCATAAAAATGGGTGTGGTAATTGTGGTGACCCACTTAATGACTGGCACAACTTATGACCATAATTCTGGCCTCAATTACAGTGATAAATCGAGGACTGTGATGCTTCTGCTCACTGGTACTTTCTGAGCAATGTGATTAGGATACAGTCGTTTTTCCAACCCTCAGATTCCCTTTTAACTGCAATTGCCAAAAGTTAGTGATGTGGTGCAAATATTTCTTTCAAGATAAGATCTTGAATGTTTGAAAGGAAAAGGAAATAACTCCATTAATATTAAGAAGACATGTATTGTAAAAAAGAAAGAAAAGTCAAAGTATTACCATGTTTTTAATTAATCCCTAAAAAGAAATTTTGTCGCACTTAACAACAGAAGTTAATCCAGCTAATCAGCAAACAGAAGATAATAAAAACACAGGAAAATAAACTTTAGCAGTTTTAGGGTATATGCCTCATATCAAGTACTACCAAGGAAGTTCTAGGAATCTTCTGGTGATATTACAGATAAATCATCTTGCCAAGTCACCAGAGCACAAACAATAATTAACAATCTGAATTATGCTTAGAGAAAATAAACCAAATTTAAATAATAATTTGTTGTTGTTTGTTTATTGTATGTAATATGTAATATTGTTATTGTTTGTTTCTAATTGCTATGGTTAAGATTAACTATCGCTTACATTTGGGTAACAGACTAAAATGTAATTAATCTGAAATAGAAATAGAAGTTTTGAATCTTCCTGTGCTGTATGAGAAGATGAGAAAAGAGAGAACAATATAGAATGATGATAAAGTCCAAGACATTCAGGCTTATTTTCATAATGTTAAATATTTTGGAATGTTAACCTTCTTTATTGAATTGGATTGTCTCTTCTTTTGTGAAAAGGGGGAATTAAAATACAAGATGTTTCACTTTTAATTAAGTACGCAGAGTGAAAGAATGAGAACTAGAACAGAGCTGAAATCCTATACACATTTTCTTGAAAGGTTGGAGTGGGCAATATTATTCATAAAAATATGCATTTTCATTTACCTTGCTCTTTCTTCATGTTAGATAAATATAAAGAAAGTGAAAACCTATACAACAAAATGATCATCAGAAACTCTTAAGCAAGACTCTTGTGATTACATAGACACATCCATTCAGTTTTCTTGACAGCTAGTGATTTTATCAGACCCAACATTGGTTATTTTGGGGGGGAGGGAAGAGAGGGAATCAATCAAGATCAACCAGATACTATCTTTTAATATGACATTTAATAAACAGTTCCAGTTTATAAATTACTGTTTCACAAGTGCAGTGATCTAGTAGTCTACTCTCCTGTCTTAGGCAGGAAGTTGAAATAGAAGACCTCCAAGGTTCCTTCCAGTCATGTTTCTACGATTCTACTCCTATTAATTTGTTGTTAAAATGCACGTTGTAGAGAGCATCAAAAATAATAGTACTTGTGAGATGTTTTCTCTGTTTAATAAGATGTAAGACTTCACATAAAGACTGAAATCAATTGGAAACAAGTATAGAAGCAATAAAAATCTGGTAGCAATTGAAAAATTAAACAGGATTTGACATATCTATGAAAGTTAAAATCATCTACTAAAACATAAACATTTTACATGCATGCATGAACAGCAAAGACAACGTTTAGAATATATTTTTCAGATTTGTCCCCATTCCAACCTAATTGCTTAGCTTCTTTAACTAGATACACAAGTAGAGATAGAATGATGCTGGGACATGAAACCAAAGTAAGAATTTAAAACCAAGAGTGACATCTAGTGGATACTGAATGATAAGAAAAAAAAATCAACAGAATTGTACTAAACATTTTTCTGATTTTATTTTTAGGTTTAAAGCAATACTTTCAGAGTTAGAACAAACACATTATTTTCCCTGTCCCCTCCCTTTCAGTTGAAAAACGTGCCCTTTACCCTTCTTCTATTTTTTGGCATGATTTTCTAATATATTGCAATTTTTATTTTGTTTATTTTTTAAAAAAAATTCTAGTTTAGTTATTGGAGCAACCCAATCAGAAATCACATGCTCAACAGATAGAAGTTCAATTAGCTTAAGCAATCAAAATCTTTGACGGTAGTCAAAACCTTTTCATAGATTCAAGATAGTTATTAGTATACCACTAGTTTATGCCAATTATGAAGACATCACCAAAGTTCAGTCCTCAAGTGCAAATATCAGGCATCTATAAATAGCATCCTGAGCCATTTTTCTCAAAATACAGTTTGAAACTGCAGCCTGTTCTGATACTAGGAGTTTCTGCAAAATAATTTATGATATGATATGGCTATCAGCAGCGTAAAGGTAAACAGAAAAATTGCTTGATTTAAACACAAGATCTTTTTATCTGTCTGCCTGCCTCCCTGTCCTGTTAGCTTCTCAACCATTAGTTTTCTAAAACAGTATAAAAAAATGCAACACTCATAGATGCAACAAGTGTATATCCCTTTTTCCTGCTAACAAAGCCATTTCTTGTATCTCCTAAAACTGCTATGCCAATCAAGCAACTTTCTGAAGCAGGATTTGCAGGATCTGACGGAAAGTTTTCCTGCTTTCCAAAAATCAGCCAGTCAAGGAGCTCAATTATCTGGACTGTATCCACTTTATTTTTTTACTTTCTAATTTTGGATTATGAATATACAAGCACAGGTATGTATTTTGGAAGGACTTATCTGTAAATTTTTTAAGGTGTAAAGCATACGAACCCGAATTTCCTGAAGATTGTGAAAGTTGTTTCCTACTCTCACAGAGATTTTGCTTGGAGTGTAACTTTCATCAGATTTATAATCTGCATAAATGCATAATGTCTTCACAGTAGTTTTTCTTCTGGAATTAAACAATTGCAAAATCAAGATTAGATGAAATTCTAAGCAATTTTATTTATTTCAGTATTCAAGGTTTATAACATTAACCAAATATTTTTAATTTGAAGTTTTTAAAAATATAATTTAGAGTAATTCATATCTTTCAACTTTTATCTCATTCTGAATAAATGTGTGAACAATAAGCTGAACCTTTTTTGCACATCAAAATTTGTACTGAAATACCTGCGATTTTGTTCATATGAATTAAAGTTAAATTATTAAAATACATATCTAAATTATAATTATAAAAGCAAATGTTAAATTATACTTCTTCTCAAAAGTTAGTTTTTTTTTACAGCAATGATCACATAAAACAAGGCACATTTTTGTTTTTATTTATCAAGGAAGACTGATGAATATGTACAGTATATCCCACATATTCAGCTATAACTCTGACCCACTTACCCATGAAAAGCTGAGGCAATGGAATAATCTTAATTTTAAAATATTTAAATCTGTTTTGTGGGCAATTAAACTATATTTCTCATAATATTATTTTGAATTCAATTTTCAGGAGGCTTCTTTTACATTTTCACAGAATTAAAAAAAAGTTAGATTTGCCTCAGGACACTTCTTGGCTAAACAGTATATTTAACTAAAGTATATTGAAATCTCACTTAACCGAATGACTTAGTGAAGAGGTGTCTCTTATTCATAAAAGTCCAACAAACTGAAGATAATATTATCCTGGTGATGTAGCTGAAGGAAATATTATTTGTGTGATACAGGTAATTCTCAACTTACAACCATTTGTTTAGTGGCCATTCAAAGTTACAATGGCACTGAAAAAAGTGACATATGACCAGTTGTCACATTTATAACCGTTGCACCCTCCCCGTGGTCATGTGATCAAAATTCAGGCACTTGGCAACTGGCATGAATTTATGATGGTTGCACTGTCCTGGGATCACTGATCACCATTTGCGACCTTCCCAGCCAGCTTCTGACAAGCAAAGTCAATCGGGGAAGCCAGACTCGCTTAATGACCACAAAATTCACTTAACAACTGTAGTGAGTCCCTGGGGCACAACTCACTTAACAACTGCCTTGCTTAGCAACAGACGTATTGAGCTCAATTGTGGCTGTACGTCAAGGACTACCTATAGTCATAAAATCAACAACCTAAATCACAATCCTTTTCATGCAGACCCATTGCACAGAGGTTTTCAAAATCAATATTTCATTGCACTTCTTATTTCATTTATTTGGTCCTGATGTAACTGCTGAAATATATACATACAAGCAAATTGGTAGGCAAATCACAAACATATATGAAAAAATGTTAATAGGTGAACTGCGGATAACAAGGTCTACTCTATATTTACTGATTGCTGATGGGTAAATGAGAGATAAGGAGATTATGGATAATGAAGACCACATGTGCAAAACCAAAAATTATTTAACGCATACTATACACCTCAAAGATTGTTTAATAAAGATTGGGGACGAACATCCTGCTGTTAAGAGATATAACTTGGGAGCTGGAACTTGTCTTCTAATTATCACAACTGAGCTGGCATCATCAAGATTGCTAGTGCAATTTGAATCAATCACTATATGTAAGGAAAGTATATGTTCTTGTTAGTTACATTCCCAATATTTATTGAATGTTTTTACATTGGGTGGCATGTATGTCAGCAAAAAAGAATGACAGTATAATACTGGAAAGAGAAATCTATAACTTCCTGGAAATAAATGGATATGTGCTATTTGTCAACATATGAATTAATCTTTTTCTTACACAGGGTGTCAGTACCCTCAATTATTAATCATGCATATCCTCTGGGTTTAGGTTGTTCGGGTTCTGCCATTCTCCTATGGGGAGAGGGGGGTAGCCGGGGGTTTGTAGTGCACATAGACTGTTTCCTCTATCTGCTTTCATGTATCCTTTATGGGGTGTGAAAGGAATGCCTTGGGGCCATCTGCCTTATCTCAGTGCGCAGGGAGGAACTGGAGAAGATCTAACAACCTTATCGATTGCTTTCCCACAGTTGAGGTGGAGTTATTGTTTTGGGGGTTAAATCTATTGATTTGGGCAGGAAGTCCTCAGATACTGCCTAGCTTTCCTGCTTTCTGTACCTGCCAATAAAAGTTCCTTTTGAAATGATGCCAATTTCAAGAGTTCTGCTTTCTTGGTAGAGAAACGGAGGCAAGTCCTTACATTAGGCAAGATCTGCAAAGTAGTCAACCGGAGGACTAATCCTACTGTGCAAAATAATGTCTAATCATAGAGGTGAGAAGAGAGAAACCGAGTGCTTGGAGTGGGCCTCGCTGGAGGTTTGCCCGAGCAGCAGCAACTCAGACTCTGCCAGCTTGTCCGACGTAGCAGACACTAACGAGAAACTCAGGTGGTCGATCGGAGTGAGGAAGAAGGGCGACTGGGAAATGAAAACCAGGAAAATCACCCTCAAGCGTGGTAGCCATCAACCCGGTTGGAACCGCGAGATGGAGAGATCGCTAAATGGCAGCAAAGATGAGGGTGAGAGACCAGTGCGCTCTGACCGCTTCCTCAAACAAGCTATTGGCATGCCTATGGAGGCATTCAAAAACTTCCAGGAAGCTGATCCCTACTGGGGTTCGATAGTCATGGGTCGAGACAAGGAAGAAGAGGTCCAGGAGAGTAAACTCTGGCCCTTCCACGAGTGCCTCGGAAGCCACTGGAGTGACAGCTGAGGTCACCACCCCAGCCCATGCCACCCTAGCTGAAGGAGATGGACACTGAACCAGGAGGGGGATTCAACCACCGGACCGCAAGGTCCTAGCCCTGGGGGTAAAATACGATGGGTCGCTCCAGCAGTTGGGCTTTTTCCTAGCCCACGTCTTGAGCTACATGCATGAATATGGGCGGCACATCCCCGGGGACCGTGGGCGCGTCAGGATCGTAAACCTGGCCCTGGAAGGTGTGGCTGCCCGGTGGATGGTATCCCTACATAACGTTGACACTCCCGAGTTCCAGAATTTTAATCTGTTCATGGCAGTCCTGAGACGGAGGTTCAAGGACCCGCTAGCTGATCAGAAAGCCAGGGAGCGCATCAAAACCATAAAGCAGGGCAGATGATAAGTGGCTGAGTACACCGAGGAGTTTAGAGACTTGGCGGGCTGCCTCAACTGGCCGGAGGAAATCTTGATTGGCCTGCTCAACGACGACCTCTACCAGGCTTGCATTGCTCAGGGGGATCCAGCACGCCTCCACAGCTGGTACATAATGGTGGAAGAGGCCGAAATTGACCTAGCACGCAGCCAATGGCAAATGAGCCGGACCTGGAGATGATCCCCCTCAGAAGAGAAAAAAGAGACAGCAAAGACCCCGATCGCAAACCCGCATTCAAGCGCCTGTTTCAGATGTGGCAAAGAAGGCAATCAAGCAGCTGAATGCCATTCAAAAGTGCCGATCCTGAGGGTAGACTGCATCGTAGGAGGGAAACCCGGAAAGCCACCACTGCGAACCTGGGAGACTGCCATGAGAGGCACCGAAGTCGTACGATCCAGCCCTCCAAATCACAGGGAGGGGGAACTCCGACTCCACCGGAGAAACCGCCGAAAACCTCTGACAGC